AACATCGGGCCCCTGACGGGATTCGAACCCACGACCTTACGGTTGCGAGTCCGAGAGCCTAACCACTAGGCCACCGACGCCACAGACAGACAGACAGACAGACAGACAGACAGACAGACAGACAGACAGACAGAGAAGGGTGGGGGAGGACGATAATCCCCACTTTGCTATCCCACCTCATACTGTGTCGTTCTTTTTCTGCATAAAGGGTACAATGGAAAAACAAGAGTTGTCACTTTTCGGTAATTTGAATCATGACGTGGGTTGGAAAGTGTTCACGTACCTCTTCTGTCCCATCTGAGTAAAAAGTAAAGTTGTTCCCGCATCCGATCCGGACTTTGGGGATTGCCTTGTTGGTGAGACAACTTCCTGGGCCTTCGGCATATTGTGGTAGGGAGGTCAGTTCATTTCCACGCCGCCTTTATTTCCCAAACTCAAAGTGAGGTACCTATTACTGCTGGGTGGGCACGAGGGGGCGAAAAAAAAACGTGTCTGAACCGAGGCTCCAACCCGGACTTTCCGCTTTGGAGACGAGCGCACTAACCGCTCCGCCACCGCACCATCTGAGTGCCCAGGGCTAAAACCTGATGAGTGGCCCAATATCAAGCTCGGACAGTAAGCTGTACATGTACAAATTGTACAAAGAACCAAAACAAAAAACGTGGGCTGTCTAACATTTAATTCATTAACTGTCTTCCTCATAATGCAGAAAAGTGCCCGCATCCCTCGTCTTTCCCTTAACCCTTTCACGTGCAATGTCCTTCTATTCGTCCCCAGGCACAACGAACGAACAAGATCCCAACGACGACCTCTCACCATCTGGGAGATCTAAAGGAAGGCGGAAGAATAGAATGAGGGGCCATTTCACAGGGGGGCGGGGAGAGGGAGAGGACTGGATGTATGGGCAGGAAGAAGAGGGTGGTGATTTCGAACACCTACAGGGTTTGTCTAAAGAAAAATACGGATACCTCAAGTCGAAGGAAGTGGAATTCACGGAGAAAGAAGAAAATCAAATAATCAGCATGAGAGTGAGTTGTTGTTGTTTTATTTTTGTTGTAGTTGTTGTTGTTGTTGTTGTTGTTGTTATTGTTATTGTTTTGTTTTATACTTTACTATTATTGTTGTTGTTATAGTTGTAACTGCTGCTGCTGCTGCTGCTGCTGCTACTGCTGCTGCTTCTGGTGTTAGTGTTGCTGCTGTTGATGTTACTGTTGTTTATGTTGCTGCTGTTATAGAAGGTCGACCATCGTCATTCAACTGACGTTCTCTCAGTCTGTCTGTCTGTTTGTCTGTCTGTCTCTCCCCCCATCTCCCCTCCCCCCTTTCTCTCTCTCATTCTCTCTCTCTCTCTCTCTCTC